ATTTGTCTGTTTATATAACCTAAAGCATGCTTTCCATAAATTTCTGTTATACTTTTATTACTATCATATCTAAGTACAATGACCATGCCCTGTACTAGAAGTCAGAGATCAACTTCTAGGTCTGCTTTTTGGACGGACTGGAAAATCTACCTTGACTCTATGGAGACTGAGTTAGCACTTGACCATGCGGAGCAGGGGAGGCTGTGTGCGGGCCCCTCCTCAGGGGCAGCAGTCCAGGGCAGCACCAGCTCTCTTATCACTGGGGCCCAGCGAAGCCCTGGGGAGCAGACTAGAAAAAACCCGCACGCACAGCAGTTTCTGTTCCTTTCCGCACTTTATAATTCTGAGCCCGAGCCTGTGTGAAAACTCAAATTCCAAATGAAAGTCAAAGGACCCTAAATATAGCCTTTACTTCTGTATCTGTCAGTATTTCTAAGATTTTTAAAATCTAAAATTCTGAAAATGTTTTTCCGGGACTTTCTTTTCGACACTAAATCATTTGGGGAGGGTTTGTGTTCTTCCCCCAGAGGAATGGAGATGTGAGACTATGAAGACGGAGATCCTCTCCTTGTGCTACTTCTGTTTCATTGTCTAACCGGCCCCACCTGCAGCTATGTACAGAGTCCGAGGGCCCGGCTGAAAAGCATCTCTGAGGCGTGTGGTTTGTGACATACGGGAAGGGGCCGCAGAGGCAGAGGTGCAGCTGTTCCCGGTGGCGCTGCCCCTCAGCACCGTGGCAGAGTGTGGGGAAACCCCGCCAGCCTCTACCCTACGGCCCACAGCCGCGGGAACTTCTGGTTACACAAAGTTGTCAGAAATAATGGAACTCTGGAGGAACTGGCCTTCTATAAAAGGAGCAGTGAAGCGGTAAAATCAGGGCGCTTTCTCACAGCTAAGCAGCTGCGCGCTGCCCAGGTGTCAGCCTGCAGGTCTCTCTCTCTGTGGCCTGTTTGCAAGCTGTTTTCACAGGTGCGCACATGGGAGGGTGCTGTCTTCCAGGATGGCTCAGCTATGTGCATGGGGGCTGAGCAGCGCGTCTTCCCGAGGACAAACTGCTGTCAAGGATATGACTTGTGACTGGCAGCACGCTCCTGCAGGTTACTCAGCCTCGCCTGCACCGCCCTGCTGCTGCCGGGGCCTGCAGACTGCAGCACGGGCATCCCCTGGGGCCTTCGAGGAAGGTGGACTCCGGGCCCCGCCGCAGACCTGCCGGTTGTAAGAAGATGCTGAGGCGATTTGCACGCCATTGCTCACCGTTCCTCTAAGTGGAACGTCCGCACAGAGCTGGACTTGGCCTTTAGAACCTGTACACGCGTCTGGGCATGCACCTGTGTCTGCTTTCTGGGCCCTTCAGCCGCTAACGTGATCTCTGCTTTTCTAAGTTCTTCTCAGTCTCAATGCCTTGCATGTGTTTTAACTTGTACTGCAACCCGGATGGGGCAGAATTTAAGTGCAGTACGTATAGCATCACGGCACAGTGCACAGATGCTCAGCATAGGCACCACTTGAAAGCACCTTGGAAATACCAAGCCTCAGCCTCTCCACAGACCTACTGCATCAGAATCTGGGTTTTAACAAGACCTATGAACCACATGCATCATTAAAGTCAAAGAAACCCAAAGGTACAGAACTCACAGACTTCTTCCCTTTAACAGATGTCACAGTTTACCTTCTCATGCTGATAAGCTACACCAGATGCCGACACACTAGAGAAATTATACAACAATACAGCATAATTAGGTTTTAGTCCTAAATGAATTACATATTAGCTTTTGCAAATTGCCTATCACATCACAGGAGAACCAGAGTGCTTTCTGGTGTCCCTGGAAGGAAGAGGTACCTAAGCCTGGATTATGAAAGTGGTGCGCGGTGGGGAAGGGGCCGAATGATAATTATCTTGTGAATGTTCACCACCACGGTAAGCAGCTCAGAGCCCTCCTCTCATTTTCACAACCCCACTGTGTAGGAGCTATCATCATCCTCCATCTATGGACAAGAAACCAGCGCAAAGGGCTGGAAGTCGCTCTCTCAAGGTGACACAGTCTGGGCGTTCAGAGTGGCAGTTTGAACCCAACAGCACCTGGCTTCAAAGCTCAACTCCCGAACAGCCGCAGTTCACGCAGGGTCCCACGTAGAGAGACGCTTTTTATACGGAGGTTACTGTAAGCACAATCATCATAAGCACAATATCATTTGACAAATGCTGCCAGATTCAAAGAAACAGGTTCCTCTGATTTTAAAATCATGTCTTAAACAAACGTGAGTAGTCCTAGAGGCCTCCCTGCTACTGAACTGCAGTCTGCTTTGCATTCTTCCCTGGTGCCCCGAGTTACAGAATCTTAACTTTATCCTCGAGGGCTCTGACACTTGTGCACGAAGCTGCTCCTTCGCACTCCACTACCGCCCGCTCCACCTTTCCTTGGGCGTGTTGGAGTCAAACGAGAGCCTCACGGGGCCACACTCAACAGGTGGCTAAGAAAAGCCCCTGCCATCTTAGTTATTATTGACCAGCATAGGTCCTGGGTTGCTATTTTTCTCAGACCTTCAAATTAACCTACCATCTCTGCCAAAATAAATGCATTTGGTGTATCCTTCGTCCACTGGGTGTTGTAGAAATGCTTGCATTTTAAATGGATAAATGAATAAACAGAAAATAAAAGGATAAACAGCTTCTCTTGAGGAATCACTGCCGAGTCTAACCCTGGATGTCTCAGAGTAAACGGTTCAAATCCCAGTATCACATACACACGGAGGCTATAAATTTTTAAATGACGATGTCACGACAAGAGTGTTCTTCCTATTTCTGCCTTTCCGCTGTTTTGATATTTTTCATATCAGTCCGTGGACCAAGCACTCTAAAAGAGGTGTTTGCCCCGATTCCAGCACGGTGCCCCGTGATTAATTCCGCTGGCATCTGGCCGAGCATTCAGTGGCAGAAGTGCTGCTGGCCTCTGCTTTGACGGAGCTGTCCCTCCGAGGCTTCTGACTGGCCGATGCAGTCACAGTAACGAGGGTCATCACTACAGCATCTGCTATGTCAACTTCGCCGGAAAGTGGTGAAAACAGACTTTACTTGTCTGAAGACTCTTAGGGTTAGTAAAAGCAGTGTGAGAAGTTGCCAAGTTTGTGTTTAGAGACCTTATGTTTCTTTTTCTTAAGTTTGTCTAAGTTGGAAGCTTATAACACACATACAGAAATCTGAATTAAGGTTCTGTAACCTTCCTAATTCAGATTTTAAAATTTGCTTTTGTTTGAATAATAAATAGAAAGCCAACAAATTTCTCCCTGCCTCTATCCGTCCTTGAATCATCTAGATGCTTAGGCAATCTTTCCCTTCCCTGGGGGTGTGCTGTAGAGTAATATTCTTTTGACTCATAATTTAAAAACTTCTGATGGGAAAACTAGTCAACAGGAAAAAAAAATGGTTTCAAGGACCCCAAAAGCAAAAAGAGCACATATTCTTATTACAGGCAAAATAAATGGAAACAGGAAGACCTCACTGAGAAAAGCGTTCTGCAAAGTATTTAAGTCCTTCCCATGAATGTTCTGTCCTTTCAGGCATTTTACTCCATTATGTGTGGGCCAAAGAGAGCATGGTTGAAGTGCTCTGAGCTCGGGGGAGTGCAAGAGTGCTGAAAGTACGCGTGGGAGGGGGCTGACAGTGGAAATTTGGTGGTGAACACACAGTGTGGGCAGAAGGAAAAAGCACATGTGAAACATCTTCGAAAGGAAGTGTCACAGGAAAAACGTACGAGGCAGCATTCTACGCTGGTCAGAGCAGCATCAGAACTGCTGTGCATTTGTCCAACATTTCAAAAACAGTCCTGCTAAACAAACAAGCAGAAGATTTCAGGCACCCAAAGAGCCACCGATGAGAAAGCATTACTGCTCTCTTAACTGAACAAACATCCCTGGAATTCAGTCACATCCTATTAGCAGAGAAGATTCTAGTTTAGTGCTGGGCGCTAGGCTTTTTTCTACATCTGGTTCCACTCAGGGAAATGTCCACCTCTGCACGCAGCACTCTCCTGACACATCTAGCTTAATTTGAGGTGATTTCCCTCTTGCTGCCCTGAGGTCTGATTTGATGAGAGCTTAGTAATGCCTACAAAATAAATTTTCATTATCTGATTAAAGCCAACAAGACCTAATCTAGACTCGTTATTAAACTAGTTTGGTTTTTTAAAAATGAGTAGCCATTTTGGGTCACACAAATTTTGTGCTTATAATTTATTATCTAGAAAATCTTTACATATTGTCTTAGTGTTTTTAATCACCGAGTTACACTTAGGAGAGCAGGGACTTTCACAAATCGTTTTAAATGGATGTGTGAAACTCTCCACTCGAAATAGGAAACAAGCTTGAACATTATTATGCAGGTAGATTAGAAAGAAAAGTACTTTCTTACCACTATGACTAATTTTAGGTAATTGAAAACCTGAAGCTTTGAAACTGCAGCACAACTGGATAATGTGCGGCAGCAAATCTGCTTCTCTCCTGATAGATTTACTAATTCCTGTCATGTTTCATCGTCTCCACTCTGAAGACACGGGGCTTAAGCTATCAGAACTGAAGCTACTTGCAACCTTGTTTCTTGGCAACTTTGTTTTGGTTGTTTAGATCTGATTACAGGTGTCTGTGATGAATTACCCAGGAACACCTGTGGGGAGTGAGGTCTTCATACATAAAAGAACCTATTACAAGATAAATTAGCTTTAATAACTCGAGTTGGGGTATTTATATCTTTATTCAATTGGCTCAATTTATTATTAGGAAATACTAGATGACCAAAATTTTTTTCTTCTAACATTTAGAGCCAAAGAATAGTAGGACCACACATTCCCAGAGTTTATTGTATATGTCACTAGACAACATAAAGAAAACAATTTCAATGCCCATTTTCTAGTGCATTTTTCAAAGAAATAATTTCACACAAGTTTTGTTAAGAAGGAGTAGAGAAGCCAGTGTAGAAGCTGCTGTGTAGAGCACTGGATGTTTACCTTTAGCGAGGCTGGGTCATCAACATTTCCGTGTACGAGATGCAGATCTTTTATCTGAGGGGGGATTTGGAAAAAGGCTGATGAGTGATACATGTGTGGCGGCACCGACTCACGCATCACAGGCATCACCTTACATAATCCACCCTGCAGCCCTGGAACGCAGGCATCGCACGGGAGGGTTCCTCAGAAAGCATAATGAACTCTTCTGACACCTCACAGTTAGTGAGGGAAGGACTGGGCTTGCATTCTGCATGATCACAGAAGTGATGATCTTAGTAGCCACTTCTTTTAGATTGATTCCTACCTCAGTAAACTTCCACAGCTACAGCTGATTTGTGTAAGAATGGCAGCCCATGGGGCTCTTACCATGGGTACACAGTTGACCCCTTCCTTGTCTTCTTTCAGAATCTGTTCTGATGGCTTGGTAAAACTCTTTAAGACGTGCCTAATAAGTTTCTCATTGATCCGGAGCTAGGACCAAAGAGAGATATATTGGATAACAGAGCCTATATCAACACGATCTCAATGAGCTGAAACTATGAATTGCCCTTAAAAAGATGACATTGAACAGATATATATGTAAGTCCCTGTGTTTGGACATAAACTATTAGTTGTACAAAATGATTGGAGAAAAGCAGTCTAGCAGAGGCTCATGTGTACACGGATTTGATTTAAGACATCAAAATTTTTCTGAGGGCCTACTCCACAAAGGACAGTGAGACTCAGGAGGATTAGCTGACAGTTGCAACCACACCAGGCAATCATATAATGCAGCTGCCCAGACCACCAATGTTATCCGAGGCTGCATTTAAAGGCTTAGTCTTCCTTTACTTTTGTCAGACTGTACTGGCAGCATCGCACTTAGTTTTGTCCAGCCCGTTTTAGAAGTGGGATGATCAAACTGACACTTGTTCAGAAGGCCTACCGGGCTAGACTGAGAGCCCGAAATATTGTTATTTAAGAAAGATTAAAAGGATTGAGGGTGTTTAGGTAATAGAACAGGGGGAACATACATGTTGAATTAGTTGAAACTCTACTCTGTTAAAGAAGGGTCTGAAATGCTTGTCTGGGGCCAACAACACAGAGACTTATGAGACCACTCAAGAACTGGGCCGCCTTGAGGAGTGTGAATTCTGCCGGTGACAGAGTCAAGGCCCTGCTGGAAGGCTACGGGGTAAAGCTGCCGCGGGAGGGATCTCTATGTGAATGATCCCAACCAGGTGGTATACAGCTTTGTGTACCAATTCCAGTAACTACAAGGACGTTAGACTGCTGCAGTTGTCCACCCAATGAGTAAGCTGAGGCAGGAAGGTGGACAGTGAAAGTCCAGGGAAGCTGAGGCTTCTGCAGAGCCCAGGGTCAAGGCTGGCCGAGGAACAGGGTGGAAGCATGAGCACAAAACCCGTGTGCCAGTGAGGCAGCAAGGAGCCATGTAGTTCTGGGCAAGATGCGATTTGCTCTCACTTTGGAGAAAATATGTACGCAGCAGGGGCCAGCCTTCCACGACCAGGACCTTAGAATCTTCCTCTGCGGTCTTTCATGACAGTAAGGGGCATTGTTCCCAGATCTGCTCCTAACCTGGTACAAGGAAGAAAAAGCCCATCAGTTAAAGAGCCTGAGAGCAGGAGTTACCATCACTAGGAAACGTTTCTTCAAGATACACAGATCTCCGTGGATTCTCTCAACCCTACAGATCGATGACTCTAAGCAAAATAAGGGTTACTGATGATGAGGCAGTTTGTGACTTTACGATCATATCCCTCGTATTCCTTTCAAAGCTTTGCCAGCGCAGCTAAACTGCAGAAGGATAACTGCTCTCAAAGACCTGGGAGGATTGTGGCCCTCAACTAGCACTCCTTGGTGTGATCCCTTCTGGCTACTCTTACCTTTCAGATTATCTCTGGGCAGAATAAGGCTCCCCTCCAGCCTGACAGGGCAGGCATGTCACCCACACTGGATGACCTGCACTTGGGCCATACGCCAGCACGAATGATAACTACAACCTCACGTTGCTGACCGTGAGCCATGGAGATTCACCTGGGTTGTCCCATGCAGGTCATCTGACCCTGTCTTTGCATGCATCCAAACTGAGTTACTTTAAAATCAAACTCTGGTAGATTGTATGCTTTAAAATAATTTAACAAGATTGTGAACTCCAGTCACATCTTATGGGTACCATTAAAACCCCGGTGAGTGGTTCAGGAACCACTTCATTCGTCTTCTGGCTCTTAACATCTTCCATTGGCTAAAATATGACGTGGGCGGTAGGGGTAGCTGGAAACTGCACGGCATTCTTTTCCTCCGCTAGAAAGACAGCGTGAGTTTGATCGGACTGCCACACTCACTTGGCAGAACACCGTGTTAAAGACATTCCGCTAGATTTTTGTGAACTATCCTACTTGTATAACATTTTTAGCTCTAAAAGTAAGAAGAAGCAGCAATAAAATAGCTAATCCTGTCAGGTTCAAAAAGATAATCTATTTTTCTAGAACATATGCAAAGCAGCAATATATTTACCAATTTTGAATGAAACACTTTCCTTTGTAACAAAATGGAAATTTCTGTTGGAAGAGCAAGATGCTTCCTCTTTATCCTACTTCTTAAGAAATACAAGAAACGTATACTTTCTGTACACACTTATTTAAACAGACACGCTTCTGATTCTAACATCTGTATGTACTATTTTGTCCTGCATTTTAAGAAGCTTAATATCAAAGGCAGCTGACAGATTCCATGTGGTGCTGTCCTGTTCTCTTTGCTCCGTCCTAACTCTGACCGAGGTGGTGTGCGCAGAGGGGAAAGTAGCCTCTGGGGAGAGGGTCCAGGCCTCCCGGTACCCAGGCCCAAGCATCTTTTTTCTCCTTCCTGTTACAGTCATACCTTGGCACTCCGCGGCTTTGAAACTCAATAAATTTGATACTCGGTGCATTTTGATGCAAAATGCTGCCCCAGTGCTTGCCATGTGCTTGGTACTCCGTGAGTTAGTTGGAACGGGTCAGAGTTGGTGGCCTCATTACGCAGTACCCTTTCCAGCCACAAACCATTTGTTTGAGTCTTGTTTCTGCTACTCCCAGAGCCCACCTCCTGGGAGTAATTACTGAGGCGCACTGAGGTACCACTGAATTTGTCTAAGTAGAGGAACCTGCTGAGACAAATCACAGACCTATCAATCCAGAACTGACTTCTAAGTAAGCAGATGGGAAGGGGGATTAAAAGAGAGGCTACAGCTTTGCAATCGGAGCGTGAGGGGGTCAGTACAACAACTTCATGCAAATGACCAGTCAGTTGCAGTAGGAGCTGGGCTAGCACAGTGGGAGTGGGAACGGCAATTAGCGGGCCGTTGAGCTACGTTGTGCGTGGGTCATCTCAAGTTCCAGTGTTTGAAATGGTCCTGCTGTCTATATCTATTGCAGCCTGTATCTGAATAGTCAAAGTCAAGATGAGAGCTTTAAAAATTCTCCCGACACTTCAGAAAGGGAGCAAGTGGGGGCTCCACTTGTGTAGTTTGGCTCTCTCCCTGTTGGAATCAACTAGCTAATTTCCTCTGTTTCATTTCATCTGAGCAAGAAACAAGCTGTCTTAATGCAAAGCAGTTACTGCAAGGAGAGGATAAATCCGTTGTGTTAAACAATTTGTTCTCTTTAGTTTACAACTAGAATTGCATGAGATAAAATCGGGAAAATCCAGTTCCCCCCACCCCATTTTGAAATGTTGCTTTCTTCTGTTCACAGGCCTAAATGTGCCTTCCCTCTATTAGCCAGAGGCACAAGAACTAGACGTGAAACTTCTCAGGGGGGAAAATGTTGCTACGGGGCTGAGTCCGTGGGCTCCTCTCCTCCTCTGTATTCTCAGGGAGAAAAGACACCAGGGGGAAAGCACTAAAATCCACCCGGGGATCAATTCAGGATCCCTCCCTGTCCCTCAGCCTCTCCGGCTTCTCTGACGTTCAAAGGAACACTGTCCAATAGGCGAGCTTTCATACTTCGAGAGAAAGCGCTTAAATATTGCTGACAACAGATACACTTCTACGAAACATATGCTTCGAAAGCGAATTAAAAATATTCAACTTCAAACTTATTTTTATTGTTTCTGTGCAGACAAAATGAAATTAGAAGAGCTAAATATTCTGAATATATCCCAGGTATATAAACCAAATCTTTCTGCCTCCGAGTTGCTCTTAATTATAGGCTTTTTCCCCTACTGACCTTAGCTCTGACAGAGCCAGAGTCATGCTATGGACCATTCATGTATCCAGATAAAAAAGAAAACTCTTCATGCCCTTCTCTGTAGAGCCCTCTGAGTCCACATCATGCCTCAGTGCCCTCTCAGCTTTCACCTCTGCGTACAGAACCTCCTTTTACTGCCCAATAGTGCAGGGAGCTCCAGTGTACAGGTAAGAACATTACCCCAAGAGCATTACAAGGAGGCAACCGGTCAAAGCAGGAAAACAGGAAAGCTTATAGGAAGGAAGCGAGGATAAGAGAATTCTCCATTCTTCCAGTAGTAAAGAGCAGAGAAAGATAACAAAGTTCTGAATTTTCTCCGCATTCCGAAGGTCTGCTTCTTCAAGCCTACACTGACTAATCTCTGCAACCAAAAGCACAGAGCAGAGAAACAATAAGGTCTGATTCCAAAATCCAGTAGGAATGAGGTGAGACTCCGTGATTAAACCCCCATAGAGTGAACCGCCTCTGCGTGTACAGCTTCAAGGACTCAGTAGAAAGGCAAGGGCCAGACGTATCTTTCAACAGGTACTTGAAAAGGTACTATGAGAAGTGTATTTGGAAGTTACATGCTGATTACCAACCTACTGGAAATGCAGTGAAAACTGTCTTTCCTTTCTTGTTGATTTGTGATGAGTCACCAAAGAGTTAACGTTCTCTCTCTCCCTTAATCCCTAAAGCAAGCAGGTTAATGATTAATTGTATCAGGGGGTTTGTTTGTAGAACTAAACCACTTTCCTTGTATGCAGAACACATTCTCTGATCATCTATACGGTAAGACGTACTTCACACCATGAACACCTATAACAAACTGAACATCTGCAAAGAAATCAGTTAACTAAATTTTTGCTTATAAATTATCATTTATATGTTATCTTGTAGCGGGAAAATAAATAATTCATCTCAGTTGCCTGGATG